AAAGAGCTAGATCTTGGTGTCCCAATTTTTTTTACAGGAGCATTTTTAAAAAAATTCTAATAAATAATATATTCTATATTCTAATAAGTAATAAATAATAAATACTAAAAATTCTGACTCTTCTAGTTCTTTTTTGATCTGACCAACAAAGAATTTGAGTGATTTTTTTTGTACCAAATTTAATGATAACAAAATTCCCTTTCTGGATATTCTTAAGATCAAAACCAAAAGCTTTACCATCTTCAGTCTCCACTTTCGTAAGAATGTGTAAGTTCTGATTCTTCGCAATAATTCTTAATTTCGCTTTCTGATGTCTCATAATCAAAAACTTGGCGAATATGGATTTGGATTTTTTCTTTTCTATTTTGCTTGCCTTTCTTTCCTGGGCGTCTAGTTTTTTCTGGTTTAGCGGGCAGAATGGTTGAAATTTTTTTCAACTTATTCTCATGGCCTTTACGTATGGACGAATTTGTTCCGAAGTAAGTTTTACATCGGAAATAATTACAATTTTGGGACTTTGTTTTCCGGTAGGTAAAAAAGGTTGACAGTTATTGTTGACTTGTGGTTGAATATTTGCAGATGATGATGTAGAAGGCATTTCAGTTCTTTGTCTTAGTTCTAAACTGAAATGATTATTGTAAAGAAATGTCTTCAATTTCATAAAAGTAGTTTTAGCCATTGCTATTCTAAGATTTTTTCCTTATCAGGATCCAGTTGGTTCATTATGACAGTTCCAGATTAAAAAAATGTATAGTGACTGCTTTGAGGCAGTTTTCTCTGTCGCACTGGGAAAACGCAAGTGTAATGCAGCACTCAGTCTATTTATATTATGTCTATGGCGCTAACAAACATAAACTTATAATTAAAATTAGAATCGAATAGAAATATGCTTTATTGTCACTGAAAATTATTGAACAATTTTATGGACAAAGCTAAAAAATAAATCAGTCAAATAGTACAAAAAGTATAAAACAAAAACAAATATTGTAAAAAACAGAATAACACAATTTTAAATTAGTAAAATTATTGTATAACCTACATAATTTGTACAGACAACAACAAATGAGACAAATTGTAGCCACTGCTTGAGACACCCAAATGTAATTATAAACAATATTAATTTTGTTTCTTTGTTATACATTAAGAAACTCGTCAACTGAATAATATGGTCTTTCTGAGAGATAGATTTTTGTCAGCTTACGAAACTTAATGAAGGATGTTGCGGATTTAATTTCTCTTGGAAGGTGATTATAAAGTTTCTTTGCACGATATAGAATAGAATTCTTTACTAGCTGAGTGGACGGGATCGGCAAATAAACGTTACAATCCGAATTTCTAATGGAATAGCCATGGTCAGGTCTATCGGGAAAAATGTTTAGATGCTTTCGAATCAAACAAACCGTTTCCAAAATAAATAAAGAGGGAAGCGTCAAAATTCCGTGATTTTTGAAGTAGGTCTTGCAATGAGTTGTTTGTTTGAGACCAAATAGATAACGGATTGCTCTTTTTTGCAACTTAAAAATAGTATCAAATTGGGGCCGCTGTACTAGAACCCCAAAATGGAAGCCCATATCGAAGATGGGACTCGAACAATGAGAAATATGCCATTTTGGCAGAAGATAAATTTAGTTCCTTCGAAACAGATCTTATTGCAAAGCAAGCTGAGGCTAGTTTCTTCCTTAAGGAGTCAGTATGCAAGGACCATTTGAGATCACTGTCAATGAGAATACCCAGAAATTTCACGGAATTTACGATATTGATTTGGCTCTCATTCAAAAGCAAGGGTTGCATGACTCCTTTATAAGATAATGCTACAGTCTTATCCACGTTAAAGCTAAGTAAGTTGGAGTCTGACCAAGCCTTGATTATAAGTAAATCAGCGGTTATAATTGAATGAAGCGTTGAAATATCAGAGCTGCTCCAAGTAATACTGGTAAATTTTCCCTTTAATTTTCAAGTAAGTAGAGTCGGTGTAATTTATTCTAACCAATTGTTTCCTACCTACCAAGTAAGTTTTGAACCAGTTCAAAGACACACCCCGAATTCCATAGAAAGTTAATTTTTTTAATAGAATGTCGTGATTTACGCAGTCAAAGGCTTTGGAATAGTCGCAGAAAACGGTGGCGGAGGAGAGTCTACTGTTTAGTGATAGATATACATCATGTAACACAGAAAATATGGCATCACTAGTGCATTTATTAGACAAAAAACCGAACTGATTTTGCGATAAAATATTATATTTAAGGAGAAAGGGCATAAGTCGAACTTTTATAAGTCTTTCAATAATTTTTGATAGTGCTGGTAACAAGGCAATAGGTCTATAGTTACAGGCATCAGATTTTTCTCCACCTTTATGAAGAGGAATGACGATGGCAGTCTTTAGGCAGTTAGGGAATGTACCTTTTTCAAGGGAATCATTTACTAGCGAGACCATGACCTCCAAAACATTATGCGGTAGATTTGAGAAAATTTTAATAGATAATCCATCTATACTACAGGACGATGTGCTTTTTATACTACGAATTGTTGAAATAGAAAGAGAGTTCCGTCTTATCAACTGGTCTTAAAAAAGAAGGTATCAGCAATGTTTTTGAATTAGAGAGATAGGAAACTGGATCTTGTTGTGGCGAAATAGTTGAGGTTATATTTTTACTCACATTAACAAAGTAATCATTTAGATTTTCGGGGTTAGGAAAAGAAAAGGTTTGATTCGCTGTACTGGTTTTATTTCGAAAATCGTTTATTATTGACCAAGTTTCTTTTGAAATATTTTTGGAGCTTGTTAAGCGATTATGAAAGTAGGATTTTTTGGCTACTTTGAGTAGTTTTATATAGCATTTTCTGTACTTATTGATATAATCAGAGATAGGGATACTGTCATTAAATTTTTTAATATATAGCAGAGAACGCATATTTTTCGCAGATATGCGAATGCCTTTGTTATTGGAATTGGTATTGGTATTTGGAATTGTCTTTTTATATTAAAAGACGAATATGATATTTGACATTATCCCTAGATAAAATATTTGTTGACGTCAACTCTGTTTTTTTATCTTTTGGTATGAAATTAGATTGTAACGGTAATACATTTTTTTATCATCAGCGTCTTTTTCGCTTATCAGAAACCACTGTGGTTCACTGCATACTGTCCTAATATATGCAACAAAATGTTATCAACTGGAATAATAATTGTTTGTACTCAGTTCAAGTTTTTTGTCTCCCTCAACATCAAGTGTTCAAATCTATTGCAAAATTTATCAAAAGCGTACTATGCAAAATTTTCTAAAAATCATCTTCAGCCGTGTATTATTGTTATTGTATAATGATATGAACTTTTTTGTCATTATCAAGCTCAAATCTTAAATTTTTGTAATTGTAATGATGATATGAACTTTTTTGTCATTATCAAGCTCAAATCTTTTAAATTCTGAGATTGTAATGATGATATGAACTTTTTTGTTATCAAGCTCAAATCTTTAAAATTTTTGTGATTGTAATGATGATATGAACTTTTTTGTGATTATCAAGCTCAAATCTTTAAATTTTTGTGATTGTAATGATGATATGAACTTTTTTGTCATTATCAAAGCTCAAATCTTTAAAATTCTGGGATTGTAATGATGATATGAACTTTTTTGTCATTATCAAGCTCAAATCTTTAAAATTCTGGGATTGTAATGATGATATGAGATTTTTTGTGATTATCAAGCTCAAATCTTTAAATTTATGAAATTTTAATGATGATATGAACTTTGTTGTCATGATCAAGTGCGTTGGGTAGCTCTTTTAGACAACTCTTTCAGACTCAGTAAAACTCACGTTTAATTAAAATAAAAATGTGTTTGAAACAGATAAATCACAAAATAAAATTATATTTGAGAGGCTTTGTACCTACATAATTTAAATGACAATCATACGATGACAGTGTTTTCGTACAGCTCGGCGACCCACTGTTTAGTACTAGCGAAAAGTGTGTTAATACAAACGTGACGAAGAAAGGAAGGACGGTTTAGAGTACTAGAGATGAACGGATCGATCAGTTCTCGGTCGAGTGGTGCGGGAAGTGACTAATCAACACCTGGTCAAGGAAAAGAATATGTTTCTTCTTCTTCTTCTTCACTGGCTTTACAACTCGGGGTGAGTCTTCGCTATATCCACTATCGGCCTTCATCCTCTACGATCTTGCGCTTCTATTTCTCATTGTTGTACCCCAATTCTAGATAAATCGGCTTCAACATCATCCTTCCATCTTTTTCTCGGTCGGACTACTGATCTTATACCATCTGGTCTTTCAAAAAACACTGTTTTTAACAATGTGTCATCCTCTTATCGTACCATGTGACCTGCCCATCTTATTCGGTTTGCCTTGATATGTCCAACTATGTTTTCAGTTCCATACAGAGTCACCAATTCAGCATTGCGGCGTCTTCTCCAATCAAAAAAAGAACAGGTTTGTCTCAGATTAACACTCGGTGTAAGCAACTGCCACTAGATCAACACTCTAGTAGAAACGGTTGGGTTTCAGTCAACACCAAAAGGTCTGGTCGAGTTGTTACCACATCACCTCATGATATCGTGGTACATCGTTACACAACTCCAAAATTTTCAATGATACAGTTTGAAAATATCTAAAATTGTCTGATATAGTGGCACAACTTAAAAGTGCCGGTATTGCATAGAAACTTGATATCGACAGGGTTCGACTTCCACTGCACAACTAAAAAGGGCCAGTACTGCAAGAAACAATTTATCTTAACCGACATGTCGTATCGACACTAGTGACGTCCAGCGGACATTTTTGTTATTATTATTGTGCCACTTTTGCAGGTCATAAATAAGGCTTTTTTAAGCCTTCTGGTGATGTTAACATGATTTTGTCAATTTTTGAGTTAAGCTACTATTCCATACAGTCGACGATATGGTCTTTTGAACTCATTAGTCATCTTAAAGTTGTATACGTCAATAAATATACACTAATCGATTATTTTCTTTTGTTTCAGATGGTGAACCAAGCCATGTTTGCCAACTTCGGTTTGATATTCGGAGAGTACTTAAAAGAAATCGGTGGCGGCCATGCCACCGGCATAACCCTAGTTTTAGCTTTAAGTGTAGTAGTGACGAACTTTGCGGGATTAATAGTGGGACCTTTATTAAAAATATTGGAAATTAGGACTTTTACTTTAATTGGTATCGGTTGTGTAGGCACCGGTATGATCATTTCGAGTTTCGGCACTGCTACGTGGCATATTGTCATTGGATACAGTGTAATGACGGGTAAGAATAAGTTTAATTTGATTAAATTCTATATATCTATAAACTTTAGTATTTTATTGATATTAAAATGGATAAATGAACCTAAAAACCATTCTGGAAAATGTAAACAAAACCAGGATACTATTGTAACGATAATATTTCGCCTACCTTAGGGTAAGATTATGGGGGTAGAAAATTGGGGACAGAAACTAAGGGGTTTGAGATAGGGCAAACAAAATAATCGATAGTTGTGTGTACGGCACTCAGGGGTTTATTGGAGAGCTGGGTCGTGGATAAGTTGAATCAAAGGGGCCAGATTGGAGACCAAAATGTAACAATGGGATACTTACATAAATCTCCTGGAACAAAATGAACAAAATATGACGGACAAGAAATACCTCTAGCTATTTCAATTCGGACGGCGCTTCAAAAAGACTTCCTGCTGGAAGAAAGAAAGGTACTTCTTTCCTAAAATCAAAAATACACACAAGGGTTAGGAGATTTTTCTACACAAAATAATCAGAGAAATAAATCAAACATTTATTTTTGTCTCAAACAAACAGTTATCAAAATACAGATGGCACAAAAATATACTATATAAATAGTTGTAAAATACAAAATACAAAGAAAAAAAATTACGTGTCTATCTGTTTACAAAGGGATTGCTACAAAATCTTTCAAAATGGTTCCTTGGATATTTATCACTGTGGCCATAATAGATTATTGAAATTAAAGATACAGTGCGTTAAGTTTTGGATTAGGTATATACTCTATAAATGGCAACACTGCGCGTCGTCGACTTGCACTACATATCTGCTTCGTTGACTCGTCGTTGCTCGTCGCCCGTCGGTAAATTTGTCATATTGTCATTATACCGTGGTTGTTTAAAGGTATAACAGCCAACAGCGTAGAGTTTTAATTTATTTTTGTAAACATGTCTGTTTATATGGCCGCGGAAAAAGCTCAAATAATAAAATGGTTTTATAGTGGCAATTCTGCGCAACAGTGTGTAGATTTATTTTCTGTGTTTTTTGAGGGAAGACCAATTCTTTGTGTACAGTCAATTTATAATATTGTTAAAAATTTTGAGAGTTGTTATTGCCTCAAAAATTGCAGAAAATGTCACGCTCGAGAAGTGTTACCAGAAAAAGTTAAGGAAAGAGAATACCGGGATACACAAATTTGTGCGACAATCGAGGTAGATTCAACACGTTCAAGTAGAAGCGTTGCTAGAGAGTTAGATGTTAGCAATGTTACTGTAACGAAAGTATGGAAAAAGCACGGTTACAAGAATTTTAAATATTCGAAAACGCAGCAGCTTTATCCAGACGATTACTTTCGAAGAATGGAGTTTTGTGAAACTCTAATAACGAAGGCTAATAGTGAACCAAATTTTATTAAAAACATTTTATTCACTGATGAATCTTCTGTTTCGTTAGTAGGGAGACACAATCCTTCCATTACGAGGTATTGGGCGCGGGAAAACCAGCACAGAAGTGTTGTTTACCGAACTCAACGTCCTCAAAAAGTTAACGTCTGGACTGGCATTTTAGGAGACCACATAATAGGTCCATTTTTTATTGAGGGCAACTTGAATAGTAGAGTATACCTCGATTTGTTACAGAATCATGTTCTTCCCGCTATTCTCAATCTTCCTGATGTAAATCTGGAGAATGTTTGGTTTCATCAAGACGGCTGTTCAGTTCAGAACGCTCGAATTATTAGGGAGTATTTAAACAATACTTTCCCGAATCGAGTTATCAGTGGAACAGGCGATATTAAGTGGCCTGCGCGATATCCAGATCTTACACCCATGGACTTCTTTTTTTGGGGACATTTAAAAAGCATTATCTACGCTCATCCTGAGGCTAGAGCCCAAAATTTGGATGAATTAAAAAATCGAATAAGAGAAGTCTCCAATTCTGTTACAGCAGAAACTCTTTCATCTGTTCGCAGAAGTTTTTATGACAGATTGGGGTACTGTTCAGCCGTAGAAGGTCAACTATTTGAACCATTTCTGTAGGTCATAAAGAATTATTTTTTATTTTATTAGAAATAATATTTTAATTTTCAATAAGAGTATACTTATTTTTTATTTTATCTTTTTAAAAAAAATACGCTTTTATTTATAATTCAACCACAAAAAAATTTTCACATTAATAAAAATCGATAACAATGCACCGATTAGGTCAGTGCATTTTTATCGAATTTCCTACTATTAAAATCGGCTTTACGTAATGAAACATGAGATCGGACGACAGAGAAGTACATCCCTAACGTTGTTGTGAGTTACTAAACTAAAATAAATGATTTCTGTCGTGAGTTTTCGGTCGGAGACAACATTGCACGTGCCGATTTAGCGTCGATAGTGTGCAATACCTAATCAAAAACTTAACGCACTGTATCTTTATAAATGAAAATATCGTAAAATTTAACCTATTCTGTAAAACATCTTTTCTATATAATTAAATTAAAATTTTTCAAAACAAACAAACAAATTAAAGCTAGCTGTCATATGTCAACACAACATTTTAAGACAGAATAAAATTATGACAGTTATAACCACGCCCTAACTTATATAATTTTAATTATTACAGATTCTTAAATTTTAAATGAAAGCAATTATTGTTACTTAGGAAAAAAAAATGTCTATTTTACTTTGACAAGTAATACATTAAATGTTACCTTAATTCACATATTTTACACTTTAACTTCTGAAAAACCTTGCTAATATCTCTGGGGTAGAAGCTATCTGGACAATTTCCAGATAGCTTCTGGAATAACAGGAACAAAGGAAGAACATCTCCATAGTCTGGAACGACGATCAAAGGCGACAAACGAGGCTGGAAACAAACAGACGACAAACGAAGTTGTGGCACACCCTATATACTGCCTTGAATTTTTACCATATTCTGGTATACTGCACAAATCTTCTAACTATTAATGTGGTTACTCTATTCTAAATTGCAATTTTACAGAGAGTAATTACCACAGTTACCGGTCTTGAAACACTTAATCCATTACACAAAAAAAAAAAAATGCCGGCTGCTGATTAAAAGTGCCACACGTCTTTTCCACTCGAATGCCTCTCTCCACCTAAACTTGACTTGACCACCTAAATTCTTGAACTTAAGCTCGGTAAAACTTTGGATCACTTCCGTTACTACGATTTACGAATTTGGAAAGTTAACCTTCAAACATTTCCAGTGTAAAATCCAACACATACCAATAGATAAATTCTTTGTTAGGAATTTTGAATGCGTACAGAGACAAAAACTCAAACAGGGGCGTACTACAAAATTTTATACCTAAATAATTTTATAGTTAAAACAAATTTAAAATGCTACACTGAGAATTGCGAGAATTGGTGGAATTGTTTGTTTATCTTTTCTTAGTATTTTAAATAGCTTCTATAACGCAGATTCATTTGGGTTTAGTTGCTGGATATAGTTATCCCAATTTTCGTTTCGATGTTTTTTTAATTGTTTTCTGACTTTCCTACTTAGCTCATTAGCAATTCTTTTATCCTATTGGTTTTCTGTTCCAATGATGATTCCAGTATCAGACAAAGTCTTGATGGGCTCAAGAGGAATCCATCAAATTCGACCATGGAAAAAAATTCAGTACCATTTCTGGATGTATCAATTTCAATGGAGAATACAGAATATGGAACCAAAGTATAGTTAAAACCAACACATTAATTGATACTGCATTTATCATTCAAATTGTAATATAAATATTAAAAAAAGGATCATTAATTCAATATATGACACGATCTTAAAATATTTCCTAAAGCACAAACAGCTTTTTTGGGAAGAAAAAACTTGTTAACATCTATTATAATAATAAAATGATGTAACCATACGTATTATATTTTCTTCAATACCTATAAATAATATAACCCTCCGCAATTATAACGTAATATCACAAGCTTTTTTTAGCTCAATGAACCTCATTGAAATTCAAATTAATATAAAATGTTTATGGATGTACATCAGCTGACTAAATGCCAACAACATGTAGATCAAATCTATTTTTGTTCGAACTTTGAATTTATTCATTAACAAGGTGTTTGCCAATGATCGGTGATTTGCGACATGGTTTTCCACATGTAGGTTGTGTTCGTATTAAAAATGATCAAATATAATTTAGAAAAATGAGTTTAGAAAGTTCTTCCAGTATCTTAAGTCTTTCAGTATCTCAAAATTTAAAACTGGCAATTCTCAAGCCACTTCATAAAAAAGGTGATGTTACTAAGATGGAGAACTATAGACCAATAAGCCTTCTTCCATCATTCTCAAAAATATTTGAAAAAGCAATATATTTCAGACTACAAAACTTTTTTACTACAAACAACTTATTTAGTAGTTCACAGCATGGTTTTCTCGCAGGGAGATCTGTTGAGACAGCTACCTATGATTTTATATCAAAAAATTTAGAAAAACTGGAGGCAAAGATGAAAACACTGGGTGCCTTTTTGGATCTAAGGCTTTTGATAGCCTAGATCATGTTCTTTTATTACAAAAATTACATCTTTATGGAATACAGGGACCAGCATTAAACTGGATAAAATCATTTCTCACAGATAGGTCGCAAAAGGTATGCCTGGAGAAAAGGGGATGTAAGGTTTACTCTGAACCAATCAATTTAAAATTAGGTATACCACAGGGGAGTGTTCTGGGGCCTTTTCTCTTTTTGGTCTACATAAACGACCTTCCAAATGCGGTGGTTAGTAGTTCCTCAAACCTTGTAAATTTCGCTGATGACTCAAATGTGCTTTTCTGGGAAAAAACTTTAGAAACACTCCTCACAGTGGCAGAGCAAATTCTAAGCAAGGCTGAACAGTGGTTCAGTGGAAATCGGTTGTTGCTTAATACTGATAAGACAGTTTTTGTCTACTTTAGAACCAGCCAGTCACGAGAACAGTTTCCAGATACAATTAATTTTCTATCAGAAAACACGGAACCTGCTAGATCAGTTAAATTTCTTGGTATTCATATTGACCAGAATCTGAATTGGGGGAACAAATACAAAATACAACAAAAAAACTGAATAGAGCCTGCTACTCATTAAGAGTGTTAAAGAGCTATCTAGACCAGGGGATTTTACTATCAGTATATTATGCAAACTTTTATTCTGATGCGAATAGTAAGGAGTAATCTTCTGGGGTTTTGCAGTAGATAGCTCAACTGTCGTTATAGTCCAAAAAAAGGCAGTCCGGGTGATCTTAGGACTAAAGGCAGGAGAATCCTGTAGAGGCCGATTCAAGTCACTCAATATACTCACTTTCTCAGCCATCTATATATTTGAATGTATTATGTTCCTTTTTAAAAATTTTTCTTTGTTTTATCACCTGCTTCCCAATCATGAATATAATACAAGAAGCCTTAATTTGAATTTGCCACTTCACAGATTGTCTATAACAGAGAGAAGTCCTTTGTATGCGTGTGTTAAATTTTATAATAGTCTACCATCTGACATTAAACAGGAAACACACTATAGAGCTTTTAAAAGAAAGGTTTTTCAACACCTAGTTGACATTGAGCCGTATACTGTGGCGGAGTGCCTGGCCTATCCTTCTCCTTGATCAGCATATTTAATTTGTAATGTTAATATATTTTAAATGTGTGATGTCAATATATATATTTTTTTAATCTGTAATTAATAATGTGACGTTATTTGCTCAATTATGTTTAAAAATTTATGCAAATAAAAATTTACTCTACTCTACAAGTCCTTTAAGAACTTTTTTCGGATATCACCGATCTTTTTAAACATTTCTTTCATTTTATATTGTCCTTTCTCTAGCTATTCAGGCTAGATAAGCAATCTAAAGATCCAAAAGTAGTTCATTCCTCCACATCTGATTCACGCCGAAATTAGAAGTCATTTATCCGACCATCTTGTCTGAAAGCCGCTATTGTAATCTTTCTTCTTCTAAAGGTTGACCCATCTTATTCTATTCACAGCAGCTCGAAATAGATCAGTGACGTTAGACCAGTGCATTTCCTAAGACTGGCCAGCCAGGATATACGTCTGCGTCTATAGCCTCTCTGGCCCTCAATCTCGCGTTGTAGCAGTTGGTATTTATTATTACGTATAATGTGGCCGAAGTAAAACAATTTTCTGTTCTTCACGGTGTTAATAATTTCTTTGTCTTTTCTAAGCTTCTGGAGAATAGTTACGTTAGTCGTGTCTAGTAAAAAACGTAAAACAAACGTCGGTATCAACACATTTCAACTGCTCTGATCGTTAGTTAAGTTGTAGAGAATCTTTCTAAGACCGTTAAAAGAGCTTCTGATTATTATTATTTACATCTCTCTCTATTGTCCCATTCTCCATCGTGTCTTCTTCAAGTACCATCTTCGTTCCGAAGGTTGGCGATCATCAGGGCTATACGTATTTTCGAAACTGCTGACCGAAACAATTCGTTGTTGCTACAGCTAACATTCCGTAGATTCTTTAGCCCGAGTTTCGTCTTCTTCCTATGGACCTTTTCCTGCTATTTTCCCTTGCATAATTATTCGAAGCAGTTCATATCTTTCGCCTCTTGTAATGTGTCCCAAGTATTGCAGTTTTCGTTTTTTGATCGTAAATATGACTTCCTTTTCTTTATTCATTCTTCTCAAGACCTCGACATTTGTGACTCTCTCGGTCCATGATATTCTCAGGATTCTGCGATACATCCACAGTTCAAATGCCTGTAATTTTTTGATATCAATCTTTTTCAACGTCCATGACTCCATTCCGTAGAACAGCACAGAAAGTACGTAACATCTCATCAGGCGAAGTTTCATTTCAAGGCTCAAATCTCTTCCGCAGAACACTCTCTTCATTTTAGTGAATATGGATATGGCTTTTTCTATTCTTATTTTGATTTCTGCTGAGCTATCGTTGTCTTCATTTATAAAAGTGCCTAAATATTTGTATTTGCTAACTCGATCGATAGTTTCATTTTGTAAATATAAATTTTGGACATTTTGTGTTGATTTCGATATTACCATAAATTTAGTTTTCTTTAGTTCAAAGATAGTCCATGTTCTTCGCTGCAGTCTGCTATCTTGTTTACCAATGTCTGTAGCTCTTCAAGTGTTTCTGCGATCAGAACGGTGTCGTCGGCAAATCTCAGATTGTTTAAGGTTTCTCCATCGTTTAGGTCTCTCTACTCATGGTCTGTATTTCTAATTTGTACATTGTCTTCCATAGTTCTGACCTTGGTACACAGTCATCTCAGGACCACAAATGCCAAATGTTTATCTCTATTTTTTGCTTTTTTCTTTTCCAACAGTTGTTCCAGTATGTATATGTGGTCTATGCATAATCTTCCTGCCGTGAAGCCTGAAGTTTATAGCTTTAACTGCATCTAATTTTGCTACATTCAGTTTTCGACTCCTTCTCTGGAGTCTTCGTCTAGACTTCCGGAGTCTGAGAGTCCCACTTTATTAGTAGAGTACATACTTCACTGTTCATTCTATTTCGGCCACTTTTATTATGATACTGTACTTTTACATTGCCGGTAATGGTCTGCTGCTTAGACGAAAGGTGGTGCGAATGCTTCTTCGATATGTTATTGAGACAATAAGGACGTTTTTTGATCTCAATGGCTTTACGGGTAATCCTTGTTTTATAGAAACGGATAGGAGCTATAGGTCTGGAATTTTCAAATTTAAATTTCTGCCTCTATGCAATTGTTGCAGCCTTGGATCAAAAGTTATTGAAAAAATAAAATCAAGTTGAACATTTTAACAATTTATTAATAATCAATAAATAATCATATAAAAGTATAAAAAAAGGTAATATATAAAATTCATCAACTCTTTCTTCCGTCTAGGTAGAACCATAACGGATTACTTACGAACCCTTTAGCATTTTTGGTAACATTTTGGAACATCTTTCTGCATTTTAATTCCAGTCCATCAAACAGAGATTTGTTAAACGTAGTGAAAAACCCAGTGAGCATATTCTTGAAATTATTAGTATCAAACATCTACAAAAATATGGATATCGTAAAAATTACTCATTAAATATGATGTAGAAAACATAATTTCCTAAAATATTTTAAACTAATTGTGTAAGTATGCACGCACTCTCTCTTAGAGGGAACAAAGAATCTTACATAATTCTGTCGTGGTTGTTGGTCAATCAAACCTCAGCAAAACAATACATTTAAGACTCTAACCCAGTAATTGATTACATTGAACATTTGCGTTTGGTAAAGACGACTATATTTAGATTTGTCGAGTCAGTCAGGTGGTCTAACTTAATTCCACTTTTAAATGTGTTAAGTTTGTCTTTAGAAAAAACTTTAAAAGGTTTTTCAACAATCACGCCGTTACCGGTCTGAACATCCTAACAAACCAATCACAAGCCATCTGAGTTATAAAGATTGGTTATTATTTAGGGTTTCAAAACTTCTTCATTTAGGGTTTCTCTTCATCAATTGGGTTTAAAAATAATCCTACAATTCCCAAACCAAAGAAAGAAATTTTAGTTATTGAGATAATTATAAAATTTACAAAATTATCAATGATAATTGTTAGAAAATCTTGTCTTTCTCAACCTTGATACTTATTTTATTTTTCTTTTCAGGGTTCTTCAGTTGTGAGATGTCTATTTTTCTTGAACTTTTTCCTTTTAAATTTAGAAACTTTTAGTCTAAAATCCAATATAGCTGGATTGTGATCGCTATGAATGTCAGCTCCAGGATATGTTTTAGTAGATTTTATGTAATTTTTAAAGTTGTTATCGAGCAAAATGAAGTCAATTTGATATCTAACAATTTTATCTTTTCTGCCTGCAGATAATTTCCAAGTGTATACCCTTCTAGTGTTGTTGGAAGAAGGTGTTGGCTACTAACAGGTTGTTCTCTACGCAGAATTGAACCAGTCTATCTCCCTATTGTTTCTGGTACCAGACCGTATGCTACGATGTTGTCTCTTCACACGACCAATGCGTTAAAGTCCCCAATCATCGTTTATCTCGCCTTTTTTTGTCAGTCGCATTATTTTATCTATATTGTTATAAGAAGTTTCCAATTTTCTTCCTTAGATTTGTCACTTGTTGGTGCATAGACCTGAATAACATTTAGGCTTCTATGGGTTGTTCTTAATTTCAACATTGCTACTCTATCATTTAGAGAGATAAAGTCTATGACTGACTGCGCAATTTCGTCCGATACTAATATAGTCAGTTCCATATGTTCTGGATCGGTTCCTCCTGACCAATGGACATATCCATCTTTTGTTTTTTGTTTTCCTGAACTAGACAATCTTACTTCACTCATCCCCAAGATGTCTACCTTTATTCTTCTCATCTCGGCTTCAGTGTTTGCAAGTTTCCCAGACATAATTAAGCTGAGTACGTTCCAGGTGCACAATGTGTACTATCCTGTCATAGATTTACATAATTATTAAACCATATTTAAACAAAAATGTTAGTTCTAATACACAAAAATAAAATTTTTTAGTTTTGATGATTAATAGACAATTTTTGGAACATATTTGACAAGATTTTTTTTTATTTAGGTTAGGTTAGGTTAGTTCTTGAATTCTGCGAAAAATTACTCATTTCATCGAAGACTTATACAATAAAGGCCTGTTAGCATATCTGTATCCTTTATTTACAGTCATTACTACATAACGAAAGAATGAAGTAATGCAATATTCTTCTAACACTGATTTATTTGTGCCATGCTTTTAGGAAACTACGTATGTGATAGAATGATAGATTATAGTGATATTATGTATATAACCTGCTAAAGATACAAATGTCTATGTTTATAAACGTCTTAAATATTGAAACTTACTTTATCGAACTGGTTTTCTTTATTGTGGATATTAAATGAGAATTGACCGACGTTTTGGAACGCCTCGAACCAGTGAACAAACTGCGGTTTCGATAAATCCAGTATAATTCTCAGAAACTGTGGATCTTTTACTATTATCTTGCTCAAACCGTATAAATCAGTCACATGCATGCTAAAAAAAATTAATAATAAGTATAAACAATTTCTTCAGTTTTCCCAACTGGACGTGCAAGTGAAGGTAAAGCAGGGGGCCATAAATCCAGCAAAAAAAGGATCACGATTATGTCTTTTAACAACGCTACAGGAATCTCAAACTGAAGTTGACGGTGAATGGAAAGGCAAACACCTATATGGTTAAGGCACTAGAGCAGAAAAACTATCTATTGATTACTTCAATCAAAGGAAAGGGTGTATGGATAAAAAAATATTTCAAAAGTGATTCGAAGTCAAATTTGTACCAGAAGTAAAAAAATATTTAAAAGCAACTAATTTGTCACAAAAAGCTGTGTTGTAATACAATAAATAATAGTAATTAGATGGTTTTTTGCAAATTAGATTGAAAATACAATGCAAGCTTATAAAAACTAATATACCTATTGTATTTTAAACAATAAAAAAAATAATCAAAAAAGTACCATGAAAAAGATTGAATTATTGCTAAAACGTGCGGGTTTTTAATACATTAGTTTTTATGAACAAATGTTTAAATTAAAACAAAGTGGCTATCGTAATATCAGTGGCGCACCCAGAATTTTCCTGTTTGTGGGAGGTTTTGCACTATCTTCTTCTTCTTAGTCGTTAACCTGATGCAGGTATCGTGATATCATGAAGCTGTTAGGTAATTTTTCCAATGTTCCTCCACGTTTTTCTATCTTCTGCCAATCTAGCACATTCTGACAATGGAGCGCCAATGGTAGCAACAATATGGTCCGTGTATCGTGTAGGAGATCTACCTCTACTTCTTTTGCCTTCTACTTTTCCCTGGATGGTAAGTTTTTCAAGACCATTTCTTCGAAGCACATGTCCAAAATAGCTTATTATCTGTTCTGTTATTTGTGTTCTTAGTCTTTTCTTTATGTTTAGCTGGACCAGTATGGATTCATTTGTTCTTCGGGCCACCCATGGTATTCTCAGCATTCGTCTCCAGCAGTACATCTCAAATACATCTATGTTCTTTTTGTCTTTCTCAGTAAGGGTCCAGCATTCCGATGCATAAGTAAAAACTGGAAAAACTAGACTTCTTACTAGTCTCATTTTTGTATCGGTAGTAATTTCATGGCTTTTCCAAATTTTTGTTAATTTTGCCATAGCGCTTTTTGCGATTGCTGACCGCCGCTTTATTTCTTCAGTACAGCCTCCTTTGTTGGTTATTAATGAGCCCAGATACACAAATTTATCTACAACAGCGATATTGTTTATCCTAACCAGATGATTTTGATTGTTGTTAGCTCTGTCAATTATCATGATTCTCGTTTTATCCCTGTTTATTTTAAGGCCCATCGTTAAGCTTACGTCTTCTATCCGTTGTAGCAGGTGAATCAATTCAGTTTCAGAACTAGCGAGGATAGTAGTATCATCTGCATATCTCAAGTTGCAAATCTTCTTCCCGCCAATGGTGATGCCACCGTTCCAGTCCTCAGTAGCTTTCCGCATTATCCATTCACCATAGATGTTAAATAAAATTGGGCTTAGTATGCAGCCTTGTCTCACGCCCTTTGTGACCCTGAAACTGTCAGTTAGTTCCCCATTTATTCTAACTCTGGCATAATTGTTATTGTACAGGCTTTTAATTAGCAGTATCAGATGATTAGGGACTCCCATTTCAGACAAAACCTGCCACATTTTACTCCAGTTGACCAAATCGAAAGCTTTACTATAATCTATGAAGCACAAATATGTTGTGATGTTGAATTCTCTGGATTTTTCTACAATCTGCCGTACGTTTAAAATTTGTTCTCTAGTACCACGTCCTGGGACGAAACCTGCTTGTTCCTCCGCAATGTTAGGTAGTAAAAAGGGCTTTATCCTCTCGAGAATTATGTGTAAGAGTATCTTACTGCAATGCGCAATTAGAGCAATTGTGCGATAGTTGCTACATAAATCTTTCGCTCCCTTTTTATGTATGGGAATATATAGTGATTGTGTCCAGTCCTCAGGCCATTTACCTGTCTCCCACACTCTTTGACAAATTTGATGTATTATATCCACTCCAACGTCATCTAGGGCCCAAATCATTTCAATAGGTATGTTATCTGGACCGGCAGCTTTTTGACTTTTTTGCCTCATAATTGCTGCTTCAACTTCACTTTTGAGTACGTCAGGTTCCGTCGCAAAACTGGCATCTTCTTGTTGTGATGGGGCGTCTGTGCTTTCCTCCATCATCAGTCGTCCACAGTATTCTTTCCATCTGTGTAAAATATCTTTTTTAGAAGTGAGTAGAGTTCCGTTATCATCTTTGATAGCAGGGTAGTTTGGTGTAAAGGAACGTGTTATCTGCTTTATTTTTTTAAACATGTCTCTGGTCTCAGTTTTGGTTTTATGCCCTTCTATTTCCATGCAGATTTTGTTCAAGTGTGTGTTCTTGTCCTTTTTGCAGAGTCGTTTTATTTGACCGTTCAGCGCTTTATAGGCCTCTTTATCACTTTCACTGTTCAGTCCTGTGGCTTTTAAGCACTTCCTCTCCTGTATTTTAGTCCACGTGGAGTCCGTTATCCATTGTTTCCTTCTTTCTTCTCTATCACTCTTAATATTTTTTCGCAGCATTATGCAATATGGATTTTGTTTTTGTCCATATGCTGTTTGAGGACTCGTCTGGATTTAATGATTGTTTGAGGTCACATAGCTTTTGCATTGCGGCTTTTTTGTACGGATCGTTATATCTTAGATGCCATTTAGTTGTTGTATTTCCTGTTTTTGGACTGTTTCTTAACTTCATGCGGAATTCAGCTGATAAAAATTGATGGTCGCTATTACAATCTTTTCCTGGATAGGTCTTAACATCCTTAACAGCGCTCCTCCAACGGGTTTTTACCAGTATAAAATCTATCTGATTTCTGTATCTATTTCCTGGTGATATCCAAGTGTATAGTCGTCTTGGGTGATGTTGAAAGCCTGTATTAGTAACAAACAGGTTGTTGTCTATACAAAAGTGTAGCAAGCGTTCTCCTCTGTCATTTCTTTGGCCAAGTCCATATAATCCGACGGTCTCTCGCAAGTAATGATCTTCTGTAGTTACACCAATTTTAGCGTTGAAATCGCCTACTACTGCTGTGATTTCTCTATTTCGAAGCTTCCTAAGCGTCTGCTCCAACGTACTATAAAATGTTTCGATTTCTTCATCGTGAGCTTCGCTTGTTGGGGCATATGTTTGTACCACATTAAGATTAACTGGACTGGCATTCATTCTGACAACAATTATCCGATCGCTGACGGTTATGTATTCTTTTACGGAGGTTTTAAAGGCATTATTTACTATCACTGCGACGCCATTCCGAGATTCGTTATCATTGCCGGAGAAATAAATATCATTGCCATTTTTTGACGTAAAATGTCCTTTATCCTTCCAGTGGGTTTCAGATAGACCTACAATGGCATAATTGTGGATCTCGTTTTCCACTACATCCAATTTTCCGGGTTCCAGCAATCCTCGAACATTCCACGTACTGATTTTAAGGGTTTGCACTATTTGCCCCTATAAACTCCCATAAATAAACAATAACCAAACATTTTTTGTTGGATGAATTGGAGGATTGCTCCTGAGGTTGCCCTTTATAATCTAGGCCACATTACATAAATTCCTGGATTACAGTGTAAAATCACCCTCTTTTTCCCTCACAGCCTAGGCTGTACCACCATTTTGAGCACACCTGGTGCGCCATTGCGTAATATAGTAGTATAAATACATCGATAAAGTATTAGTATCACAGGAAAACATATTTCCTACTTACATCAGATTAAATTTGAAGACTCTCGATTCACTTTTGCAATAAGCACAAGCTCCGGAAATTTCTATAAGACGCTTACATCCGTCGCAACTGTTAGTCATGTCTACTTGAAGAATGTGTACATTAAAAACTTTGGACCATACAAGTACTCCATGAGGTATGCTGTTGCCTTTACTTAGGAAATACGGTGAACCCCAATCGCCTTCAAATACTCCATATCTACAAAAAACATAATGGTGCAATTATTTCTTCCACACTTTTTGCAGTCCGGGTGAGCTTAGGACTAAAGGAGGGAGGGCCCTGAAGAGGTTGATTCAAATTACTTTCTCTTTAAAAATTTTACTTTGTTTTATCACCTACTTCCCAATCATGAATATATGTAATACAAGAAGCCTTAATTGAATTTGCCATTTCACAGATTGTTTTTAACAGATGTATACATGTGTTAAATTTTACAATAGTGTAACGTCTGACTTTGAAAAGGCATTTGATCGCGTTCAGCATACCAGACTAATTACCGCCTTGCAGAGCATCCAACTAGATGAGAAAGACATCAAACTTATTGCCAAACTTTACTGGAACCAAACAGCCATTATTAATACCAACAACAGAGAATCAAAGCCAATCAGTATTGAACGAGGCGTAAGACAAGGCTGTATACTATCTCCCACCCTCTTTAACGTGTATTCTGAGAATCTATTTAGGGAAGCTTTAAAAGATCAAAAAGGAATTATCATAGGAGGAGAAATAATTAACAATATACGGTACGCCGACGATACTGTGATTCTAGCTGAAAACATCGACGATCTGCAGGAGCTAATCAATAGAGTTGACATGGAATGCACAAATTGGGGACTGTCGATAAATATCGATAAAACTAAATACTCATGGTGACCAGTAAAGTGGATATCGGCGCAACCCAACTGATATTAAACCAACAACCGCTGCAGAGAGTTCAGAGATTCAAATACCTTGGATGTTGGATTACCCAAAATCTAGATCCATCCTTCGAAATTCGATGTAGAATTGAACAGGCAAGAAACTCATTTCAAAAATTCAAGCCTCTATTATCCAATAACTCATTAAATTTGGAAATCCGTGAAAAGTTTACAAGATGTTACGTGTGGTCTGTACTTTTGTATGGATGTGAAACTTGGACTTTAAACGCCGATATCATGAATAAAATCGAGGCGTTTGAGATGTGGTTGTATCGAAGGATACTAAAAATTCCATGGACTAGCAGAACCAGAAACGAAGAAGTTCTTCGAAGAATGGGACATCAACGAACTCTATTAAATATTATTAAGAGGCGTAAACTAGAATATCTTGGACATATAATCAGAGGACCAAGATATGAGTTCCTTCGGCTAATTCTCAACGGTAAAATCGAAGGAAAGAAATGGATAGGACGGAAGAAACTCTCTTGGTTGAGGAATTTGCGGCAGTGGACAGGTTTGACAGCGGACCAATTGCTACACGTAGCGCAAGACCGAGATCAGTATAACAATATTATAAGCATGGTAGTCGAAGACGTTCAGTAGGGATATGGCACTCTAAGAAGAGAAGAAGAACGTCTGACATTCAACAGGAAATACACTACATATAGCGCTTTTAAAAGAAAGGTTTTTCAACACCTAGTTAACTTTGAGCCCTATACTATGGCGGAGTGTGTGGGCTATCCTTTTCCCTGATCAGCATATTTAATTTGTAATGTTATATAATTTTTTCAATCTTTGATTAATAATGTGACGTTATTTGCTCAATTATGTTAAAAAATGTATGCAAATAAAAATTTACTCTGCAGTAATGTTATACTTACAGGTTTACTGCATGAAACTCAGTACGGGGCATGTATGACAAAATTTCTATTGTAGTAAATATAGTGCTCTTCAAATATGTTGCCATAGGTTTGACGTTGTTTACTCTAACTCTCATTTCTGGTATCAAACCAAGAGGCATGAGCTGGTTTATCCAGTTACTCAGATATACTACCAAACTCGATTGCGTTTCGTTTTCTAGGTATCCAAATATTAAGGTATGAGTTTCTGAACCTAAAAAATACAGGTTAGAAACTACACAAAAAGAACAATTATTCGTGTATAGGAACACCATATTATAACCGGGAACAATATAAAAACATGGTGTGCTACTATTACTTAATGTACATCAAAAATAATTTCACTGTCAGAAAAACTGTGTGACTATTAAATAACGAGACTGACTGTAAAAAGTCACTTGTAAGACAGAACTAAACAACTACTTGATCAGTAAGAAAATACAGAACAAAATTTTAAATACAAACACTAAATCGCAAATTAAAAGATTTAAATATACATATTGCTTACCTGGTGTTGAAAATCCATACAATGATGTTCTTTTATTGGTTTGTGAGAAATTTTGAACAAAGCCCCTATTTCGTACAACACCTTCAAATGATAAAACCATATTTGAAGTTTTTGACATATACTTCTTACAATCTTGTACTTCTAATATTTGGTTTTTCGAATCATCTTCAGTTGGTCCTAGTTCTTGGAAATAGGCAGTATTTTCAACAATTAGAAAATTCTTGTATCTACCCGCTACCATGAGTTCACCGTTGTATATTTCTTTCCTAAAAAAGTCATTTAACATACATATATAGAAATATGTGTCATTTGAACCGCATATTAGACTACTCTCTGATAATAATCTTTTATTAATTAAATTAAATTTATAGTTTACTATTTATAATGCTATAATTAATTAAACAACTAAAACGTTGTTTGCTTAAATATATTCTTTAAAAAACCAAAATAACGTAAATAATCTCAACAAAACAAAGCTAAGTCAAGTGATCTGGAGTTGTCAATATTTTAGACATGTAAATGGGCTACGAAGACATAGAAGAACAAAATGGATTTGGTGCAGGAAGATCGTGCACTGATGGTATATTCGTACTGCAGCAGGTAATCGAAAAACGGAAGGCAAGAAATCTATCTACCCACCCATTGTTCGTAGATTTAGAGAAGGCATACGATACGGTACCTTTGAAAAAACTGTTTCAAACATTGACGAAAGTAGGTCTCAGTAGAGAGTATGTGCATGCTATCGCAAATATATACAAAAATGCAAGAAGTGTCGTTAAAGAAGGAAACTTTATATCTGAATCATTTCCAATAACAAAGGGGATTAAACAAGGATGTTGTCTATCTCCTTCCTTATTTAAAATATATATTCAATTATCGCTAGAGCAGTGGAGGAAACAAGTATCTGGAATGGGAATAGACATAGGAGGTGGTAAATGTCTAACAACTTTATTTTTCGCAGATGATCAGGTAATCATAGCGAATGATGAGGAAGACATGGACTACATGTTTAGAAAACTAAAGAAAGAATATGAAAAATGGGGCCTTAATATGAATATGTCAAAGACAGAGTATATTAAAATAGGAAATGATAAAGAAGATCCAGAGTTAGAAATTAGAACCACAAATACATGCAATGAATATAATATCTCAGATCTATAATATCTGAAGAAGGCACTACCAGAAGAGACATCGAAAACAGAACGCAGCAGGGTAAAAAAGACGTTAACATTCTAAACTCTCTACTATGGTCTAAACATATTAGACAAGAAACGAAATTGACAATCTATCGAACCTTGGTAGAGCCTATTATGACTTATGGGGTAGTTTGGCAGATCACGAAAAAAGATAGAAAAATAATAGAAGTAGTAGAAATGGATTTTATAAGGAAAGCGTGTGGTGTATCCAAAAAATCAGGAATGAATAGCAGGAGGACAAATGCTGTATATTCCAGTGTAGACAGAATTGAAACGAGACAACTAATGTGGTATGGTCACGTGAATACCACAAATGAATACCACAACAAAGAAGAAAAAGGGGAAGGCCTTCAGTTGCCTGGGAAGAAAATGTAGGACACATAATGAGAGATAGAGCCATCAAAGAACACGAATGGATGGACAGAAATTAATGGCGGTCAAAATGCGAGAGGTGGCAGAGGTTGTAGGAACCTCGCTATGGCACAGTCTCTCTTTCTCTCACACACATATACATATCTATATATAAAACCCTACTTACATAGAATTGTTGTGGTGTAATCTGTATTTGAAACCTTCTTTTAAAAACAATAATATATTTATGTATGCACTAGGTAGTGTCAGATAAAATACTTCGTTTAGGTTGTTGTCATTTTCCTTGTTCACTGAAACTTGTAAGTAAGCTTCAGGATTTTTGTTTTGTCCTATACATACCTGAAATAAATTCACCTAGTTTCTTTTAAAGTATATTGGAAGAAAATCGAACAGTTTTGTATAGTAAAGCTCCTCATTTTATAGTGGTCATCCTTCTTAACTTAAATTATTTAATAAAGAACTTGTTAACACCGAAATATTTTAAAAACATGTCCCAAGATCATTTTGTTAAGAAAAAATCACAACACAGCCACTGACACTCCCTTTTTGCTGTAAAATAAATAGTGAGGACCAAAAGTTCCTAGTTATTAGAAAGAGTAAGAATATGTGATGTTTCAAAAAAGCACATCTAGATATTTAATTGCTATTAGAATCTGTATACATTAAAAAAGAGATGTATACAGAGATGTATACAGAGATGATGACTTATGACCTACAGACTGTTAAAAATAGAAAAAGCATAGTAGAAAAGGATGTTTACTCTTATAAAAAGCTATGTTCTATCCAAAAATAGAATTGAAAAATTTTCAAATTGTATTTTTCTATGTCTCAATCCAAATTTGTATTTATTTAAAATAACCACTTGTTTTTGTTTAGTTTGATATCAAGTAGCAGAAAAATAGGATAGAATAGAATAGAATAGAAATATGCTTTATTGTCACTGAAAATTATTGAACAATTTTATGGACAAAGCTAAAAAATAAATCAGTCAAATAGTACAAAAAGTATAAAACAAAAACAAATATAGTAAAGAACAGAATAACACAATTTTAAATTAGTAAAATTATTGTATAACCTACATAATTTGTACAGACAACAACAACTGAGACAAATTGTAGCCACTGCTTGAGACACCCAAATGTAATTATAAACAATACTAATTTTGTTTCTTTGTTATACATTAAGAAACTCGTCAACTGAATAATATGGTCTTTCTGAGAGATAGATTTTTGTCACCTTACAAAACTTAATGAAGGATGTTGCGGATTTAATTTCTCTTGGAAGGTGATTATAAAGTTTCTTTGCACGATATAGAATAGAATTCTTTACTAGCTGAGTGGACGGGATCGGCAAATAAACGTTACAATCCGAATTCTAATGGAGTAGCCATGGTCAGGTCTATCGGGAAAAATGTTTAGATGCTTTCGAATCAAACAAACCGTTTCCAAAATAAATAAAGAGGGAAGCGTCAAAATTCCGTGATTTTTGAAGTAGGTCTTGCAATGTGTTGTTTGTTTGAGACCAAATAGATAACGGATTGCTCTTTTTTGCAACTTAAAAATAGTATCAAATTGGGCCGTTGTACTAGAACCCCAAAATGGAAGCCCATATCGGAGATGGGACTCGAACAATGAGAAATATGCCATTTTGGCAGAAGATAAATTTAGTTCCTTTGAAACAGATCTTATTGCAAAGCAAGCTGAGGCTAGTTTCTTCCTTAAGGAGTCAGTATGCAAGGACCATTTGAGATCACTGTCAATGAGAATACCTAGAAATTTCACGGAATTTACGATATTGATTTGGCTCTCATTCAAAAGCAAGGGTTGCATGACTCCTTTATAAGATAATGCTACAGTCTTATCCACGTTAAAGCTAAGTAAGTTGGAGTCTGACCAAGCCTTAATTATAAGTAAATCAGCGGTTATAATTGAATGAAGCGTTGAAATATCAGAGCTGCTCCAAGTAATACTGGTATCATCAGCAAATAGAAAAATTTTCCCTTTAATTTTCAAGTAAGTGATGTCATTAATGAAAAGTAAAAAAGAATGGGACCTAATACTAGTAATAAGTAGTATAACCTAGATATATAGTTCTCTGAAGGTGGTAAAAATAGTGTAATATGATCAAAGAAGATATAAAAAGTGGAAAAAATATTCACTAAAAATAATTTTCAACTAAAAACAGCTTTAGCTTTGATTAGGATGGTATTTAATATAAAGTTAGCTCCTGTCAATATTTGAAAACATTGTCCAAAAATATTACACCAAATTTTATTCTATTTCTTTATTTTTATTAAAAATTTTGACAGTCTGTCATATTTTGCCACATATTCTATTTCAATATAAAATGACTAAAAGAAAGAGAAAAACCAAGAAAAAACAAGCTAAAACCACAGTAGGTGGACAAGGTGACCAATCAAATGGAACACCAACAATTCCAAATACAGAAAAAATCCCACAGACAAATTTACAATGTATAGCCATTTTACCTGGCATAGGATATTATGAAAGTTCATCTTCGTCAAATAGTGAATGTAGTTCCAATTCAGATATTAAAAGATTACCCAAAGTTAAAAGAGATTTACTTGGAAGACCTATTGAAACAAAGAAGAAATAAGATACAGACAATTAAATTAATAAAGATATTTAAAAAAACTTACTGTGCTTTTTCTCAATATGCTAAACTCCCATGTCTTTTTAAAACCATCACAGCTGGGCTCTATCTGTCCATATAATTTGTTTGATTTGGTTTCAGTATTTAAAATACTAATGTCTTTAAAATCAACTATTACATATTCCAAATTTGGCACCCTAGAATCTTTAAATACTTCAGTTACTACTTTATATTTTGTTAAAATTACAAAACTATCTGCAAACTTATCAGTACTTCCAGATTGGTTTGTTATAATGCATACCATTTTGTGCAAGTTGTCTTTCATCATCAAAAACCCATATTGAGGATCTATGTATAAGAAGCCAAATAGTACACTATTTCTTTTAAGTCCATAATGTACTCCAAATGACCAAACAGGGAAATCTTGATATTTATCAGAAATTATTTCTACATATTTACATCTGTTTATCGGAATTATGTCAATGTCCGATATCCAGTTGTTTAAACAAATATGACTGTTCAATTCATTATCATTATATTCAGGTTTTATCACAGTTTCTAGTAATACTAACAACATTTCAATTTGTTCTTGATCACTTTTAAAAATAAACGATTTCTTCAACATTTCTAATGTACGATCAATCATAAGTAAATCAGCTACACCTAGGCTATATTTTTTTATTAAATGAGTAAATGAATTGGCTTTGAAATCCACAGTCAAATCTCCTTTAATTTTCGAATTTTCACAGGCTACACAAGTTAATGATGATATATGTAAATTTGTAGCGATTACTTTTGAATTTAAACGAGGTAATTTAATTTTAGCGTCGTATATTTTGAGTATACTAAGATGTATTTTATATTTTTTATCCAGTTCCAAATATCCATAATAAGGATCCACTTTTGTAACAACTCCCTAAAATTATAATACATTTATAAAGTTCCAAAAATTTAACATGTTATACATACCTCACATTCCATACTTTATTTGTTTTGTTTTTATTTATTATTATCATTAAAAAAAAGGTTTAAAAAGAATACGGTTATTATGATAAACAATTTAAAATCTAATCTCAATATGGCCTCTACATCTTTAGCAAAACAGCTAATGTGTCATTTTTATTAAAACGGTCTGCACATATTGTACAAACATCCACCCACTATCGCTATAATAAAATATCGTTAATTGCTTTTATTTATTTGCAGGTTTTGGATTAGGCCTATTGGCTTCGGGGACATTTTTAATAATCAATGATTATTTCACAACAAAAAAGAGTACGGCTGTGGGAATCTCGATGGCGGGTACAGCTATTGGACAAATGACTATGCCCTTGTTTATAGGAATGCTGTTAAAGAAGTATGAATACAGTGGTACAACATTTATTTTAGGATTTATAAGTTATTCTGGTGCTATCGGCGCTTTATTTTTTAAGGTAAGTACATATTTGAACCAAGGACTAAACTTAATGTTCAAAAACAACTTTGTTATTGTTTGATGTGTTGCCTAACATTAAGTGATGCCAATTTATTTTAAAATAATATTTTATTAATATTATTCTAAAGCTATTTTCTTGTATCTTTCTTCTTTTGTAATTAATATACAATGGGAATTTACCACAATTGTTAAATTAAACACTAGTTTGTCTCTACTTAGTTTGGATCTCTCGATCGGAAAGCTTTTTCAGAATGGTATTATATAAGAATTATTCGTATTATATAAGTATATATAATATTACCTATTAGTTACAAAAATAACATTTTCTGATGAGTTGCTTTACAGATTTCTATAAAGGTAATAAAATTGTTTGTTTTAGCCTATTTTATGCTGCAAAAAGTGGGGACCTGCTGAACAAGTTGCTGCAATAGAGAAGGGACCAGAAAAGGAGAAAATAAACTCAGTTAGTACTATTCCTAAGCCCGAAGAAGAAAAATTACTGAAAGTGCCAAATGGTGAGCGTAAAGTTTCGATTGAAGAACGAAATGGACACCCTGAAAGGAAAATATCCAGTGGAGAGTGGAAAAACAACGCCGAACGAAAACTCTCAAAAAGTGAAGGGGGAACTAGAGGAATGATAAAGTCTTACAGTCAAGCTATGATTAAGGACCACGTAGAAGTCACCTATAAAGAGTCAGCTATTGAAATGGCGAGTAGTAAGTATTTTTTTCGCATCGTATCATTACTGACCGATTAGAAATTAAATATCTCATATTTTCTTGTTTTTAGGTCAGTTCCAAGTAAATAAAGATGAGGAAAAACACCATTGGCTTCGTAAAGTATCCAAAGCATTAGGGTTTGAACTTCTTAAAGATCCAGTGTACGTTCATATAGTAGTAGGTTTAGGTTTAGTCTATGTATCAACAGTATCCTTTGGTGCCTTCTTTCCCATATTCCTCCAGGATGAAGCAAATTTGAACATGTTACAGACAACAACAACTATGACCTCGTTGTCTTCCGCTGACGTCCTGGGAAGAGTGACAGCCTCAGAGATTTGTAGAAGACTGAAGATGAGTAATAGGAAAACTTTTATGTTTGGTGCTGCGCTTTTAGCTATAATGAGATCAGGTAAATATTTTAAACTCACTAAAGGACTTGATTGTACTACAACTAATTAGTATATTATTACTTTAAGAGGGTCATTACAAGTTTTATCTTTGTCCTCCAATTTTACTTACCTTTTTCTATACCACAGTATTCTTTAGATGTTCTCCAAACATTGAAAGAGCAGTAATAAGGTGACAATAAATATGGCTAAAGTGTACTTACCACAGAAAAAGGTTCTGTATTTGACCGCTACGCTGATTTACCATTTTTTGACTACGCATCATTGACATATTTTTTCCAACTACCTTTCAATCACGTTTATTTCGATCACCGTACACCGCACAGACAAACACTTCACACAACATCCAGACATTTTATCGTTAATATAGACTTCTTAGATTGTAGATATACAAAGTGGCCCAAAAGTCTGGAAACGGCTAATTATCTCGTAAAATGCTAATCATAATTGTACAAAATTTGAGGTACACCTATTTTGGGATACGGAGATTCCATATTTGATATTTACAATGTTGCCAGATTTGCCGTTTTTCTTATATTATTAGTAACTTTAGCTTTTCAAATACATCACCCTGTATATTCAGTCATTATTGGAATCTCGTATTCAATACGAGTTCAACCATATGTAATACTTATGATTTTATGTAATCTGGAAGGTCATAAATACATAAAACCGAAGTCTGGCAACGCCTAAATTGTTTCAATAAATTTTTTAATACTAACTATTTTAAAATACATTAAAACGTAACAATTGATAGTTAAGAACATTTTTTAACATAGTAGTTACGTTATTAAGTGTTCAAAATGTGCTCAATTTGTGAGTTGACAGCACCCAATTCGATGGTAGAAGGCGTCTACCACATTTCTCCATGATTGTCTAGAAATTATTCGAGATTCATTGATAATTCGTTGCCTTAGCTCTGCAAGTCTTGCTGGTTAAGTTTTTGTAAACTGAATTTTTCAAGTATCCCTAATAAAAATAATCTTTAGGATTGAAATCGGGGTGAACGTGGAGGCCATTCAATTCTACCTTGTCTACCAATTTATCGTCCGGGAAATATCTCATCTAAATATCGCCGAACATTTACACCAACTATATGACGTTAAATTTCTTTCGATAAGAAATGGCCCAATTAAATAAGTACCTCTTATAATTGACCATACATTTAATTTTTGTGGTCTTAGCCTGGCTCAGAGCGGGAGGACTTGGTGCTCAAACCGGGCCCACTTTGTATTTGGCGATTGTCCATGGGTGTTTTTGAGCTACGAACTGTCTTCATTGTGCATTGTTGTTGTTTTTTTTGAAGTGTTTTCTCTCTGGTGTTTTGTTTTCTCTCTGGTGTTTTGTTTTCTCTCTGGTGTGATTTTTAATTTTTTCTCTGGTATTATTGTTTTAGTCTACTATTTGTTGTTTGGGTCTTTTGTGCTTCCATCTATGGAAAGCGTCACACCTCATTATCTCTCGTAGTATGCGACTGGGGTGGTTCTCTATCTCTGCGAACTTTCTCCTAGCTTTTTCTTTCAATGTGTTAGTCACTCTGATTTGTTGCAATTCTCTAAAGAGAAGTCTTTTCGCCTACGTATCTCGGTAGGTTGACTACTTTTCTTAGGATGTTGTTGTGTGCCACTTGTATTTTCTTTTTTGAAGTGTTGCATATGTGTTCTCAAGCAAGAGAGAGTATACGAAGGATTGCCATGTAGGCTTTTTGTACTGTGGCTTCTACGTGTTTGCTAAATGTTAAGCCTTTCTCCATGATTACTCCGAGGTATTTTGCTTCGCTTTTACACTCGATGGGATTGTCTTGCACAGTTACCTGTTCTTCTGGTTGTTGGTGCCTCTTTTATAAAAGTACAGCCAGTGTCTTATCGGAGTTTATTGCTATTTTCAATTTTAAACTCTATTCTTCTATGTCGTCTAGCGCTGTTTGTAGGTTGTTTACCGCTATGTCTACATTTCTATGTTTAGCCGCTATCGCTGTGTCGTCGGCATAGAGGCTTAATAGTATACCTGGTGTTTAGATATATCTGCTATGTATATCGTATACAGTAGAGGTGACAGTACTGTACTGTGGCACTCGAGCCTCTTGGTTGGACAAGGACTTGTCATATCCGGACTCTGAAACGATTGATCAAGTACGAAGAGATCAGCCTTGTCATTGCTCCGCTATACGCGTATCTTCTCATTTTGTATATCAGTTCTTTATGCCTGACTCTGTCGAATGCTTCGTTTACATCTAGGAAGCACTTACTAACTCCATAAAAATACAAACTGCTCCTAATTCGCCAAAATAAAACTATTTAATCGTTTGAATAATGATAAACTAATGAAAATGTGTTTCTTTAACACAGCTGTTGTAGTAGCGTGTTCGTCACGTGAACCAACCTGCAAATTTCGTTGGTGGTAGAGCAAACAGCGAGTTTTGCAAGTAAACATTTAACGCAAAGAGCGAGTTCTGCAAATAACTGTAATTTTGTCGACAGCATTTGTATGCTAAATATCGAGTTTTGGGAAATTTGGATTATATCATTCAATTCCTATTTATAATTGAAATAAACATAAAAAAAAATAATTTTCGAAACTTTTGTCACTTTATTTGCATTGGTAGTATACAATCATTGGCACATTGTACTGGACATGATGTTGATAGAAAAGTAATTTAGACATCAAATGGCCGAAAATAATTTTAGGCCATATTATACCTTGAATGCCATAATATTAGAGAAACCGATCCTGCATAGAGATAAATGTAAAAGGGAGTGATGAAAGGAGACACTGAATATGAAAAAAAAATAACAAAAATTTTGGTACTCCAATTTTAAATGACAATTAAAATTATCGGCCCTAAGTTAAAGTTTTGGAATTAATCTGAACGATTTTCGTATATTCCCTAAAAACAAAGTAAAGGTTGATATAAAATTAAATTTAGTTGTAATATCCTTTCTTCTATAAATTTTTTAACGCTTTTCGCTTTTTATAATAAATCTATTATAGTCTATTTAAAAAAAAATCAAGATCAAAATTATCGGAGATGATATTAATAACATATTTGACAATTTTGTATAATTAAACGTTTTCTGTCTTATTTTAGTTGAAGTTTTGATGCCCAATTACCTTTCTTTGGCAATAGTGGCCTTCATCGTAGGATATTTCCGAGCGATTGCTGTGATAAACCAAAATTTGGTCATTTCCGAATATATTCCCAAGGACAAGTTGCCCTCTGCTGTGGGACTTAATATGGTGACGAAAGCATTGCTGTCATTCACTGTTGGACAAGGATTAGGTATGTAAAATAACACAATTACATCATTGTATCTTTTTTAGCTCTTATTACAATAATATTTCATTGGTAGTCTAGAAGGTTAACCAAATATAGGAAGAGGAGTATGATGGGGTAGCTAAAGAAAATAACAAAAATACAGCATAATCACTATGTAATTGAGGCAGTGGCTAGAATAAAGGCCTATAGGCTTATATGCCCTTCTTCCGGAGAACACAGAATTAAACTCTTTATGTTGTTCCCTGTCAGTCTACCAATTTTTTCTACGATCATAAATGTGTTGCTTGTGTGAGTCCATTGCAAATAGGTAAAAGAAATAATAAATAAGACTTATTCACAATAAATTTAATTTAACTATCTAGACGACCGGTTTCGCTTTCTACAATATGCAAAGCATCTTCAGGTCTCGATACAAAGTTAATTAAATGCTGAAATAATAAAACCCATATTAGGGTGTTGTCTTATAAAGATAAACAAAGATAGATGATATAAATTACAGTAATTATGCCAATATTACATGTCTGTGGTTTTTCAAAATGAATAAAATGTTTAAGCAGACAAGGTAAGACCCACAAATTGGTATAAAATAGTCTATTAAATTGTAATAAATTAGTATATAAATAAATAAAACATTACTTACATGCCGGTACTGTATTAATTGATGGTTAGAAGAACATGGTTCAAACTATCCTGTATTGTTGAATGGAGAACTTAAGTCTGCTATTGTAATTGTTTGACAATAACGGGGAAGTTCTTGAGGAGATTCTTCTAAATCGATATATTATTCCCTCATAATTTTCAATAATTATCAATACGCGATACATTAACTTGCCATCACTATGTTAAATTAGTTCTGATCCCTGAGATAATAATTGTTGTCGCTTTTATAGTAGGCCTTGCATATATCACAGTTTATTTCTTAGTATGTCAAGTTTGTTAACTACCTACGACAACCGTGTCGTGATTGGCAATAGTGCTGACTTACAATTTCTAATTCGAGTATATTTATGAATGTCTCGATTTATATTATCAAACTATATTTTATATAAACAAAATGCGAAACTATGTTTCCCTTTTTTCGTTTTAACTTATTCTTTATATGAATTATAATATTTTAGAAATAATACTCCAATAGGAATAACTTCACTTTATGTACTCAGAAAGGGTGCTCTGGTAAAACAAAACGAAAAGATTAATAATAATCCTATCTTTGTTATATACCAAGATATTCCCGACTTAGAACGAAATAGACTAAAATCTAGAAACCTACCGCTGCTCTAACTTCCAGATCCCTAATATCAGATGAGATTGAGACAACAAAACGATGGAAAAATAAATCGAAACAAAGCACATAACAACACATTTATTTATTACGCCATTCTGATCAACTGGTTACAGGATATGATTTTAATCGTAACACATTAATGACATTAAAGCGAATCTGCATCGGATGATGTATATATACTTGACATCCTAGCAAAGCGGGGTAAGATCCACTCTCTATATTGTAAATACTGCCATGACAGACAAACCATACAACATATTGCTTCTAAATGCCCTGTCCGAATGTATTCCTTCGGACTAGGATTTCCTTGAAGCAACACCTGAAGCATAAACAAAAGACTGCGAAAAGTCATTATCGCATTTACACCAATATCAGACAGAATTTGCACCAATAGACTCAAAGGTATTTCCACCAATAGACTCAAATAAAGCCTATTTCTCCCTGATTAACATATTCCGCTCCAAGACGGTGCATCGAAAATCGAACTTAAGGTCTATAAAACTATCATCAGACCGATAGTATGCTATGGATGCGAGGACATGGGTTTTGACAGAAAGCACTAAACGAAGATTAGAGGTTTTCGAGAGAAAAATCCTAAGGAAGATCTTTGGACCCATCACTCAAAATGGGATGTGGAGATCTAGATATAACCATGAACTCTACCAACTGTTCAAAGAAGCAACCTATTGCAGAGTTCGCTAGAGTACAAAGGCTTCGATGGGCTGGTCATGTGGTACGGATGGATGCCGACAGATTGCCGAGAAAGGCCTTGGATGGTAAAACGCAGGGCAGAAGACCAAAGGGAAGACCACGTAATAGATGGGAGAACGAAGTCACAGCAGATGCGCACAACTTACTGAACGTCAGGGCTTGGAGACGAGTGGCGCGGGATCGCCTTTGTTGGAGGCAGAAGTTACAGGAGGCCAAGGCTCAATTTGGGCTGTAGCGCCATTGGAAGAAGAAGAAGAAGACTCAAAGGTAAACTGCTTAACGTGACAATGGTTAGTGTTTATGCACCGACGAAAGAGGCTGATGAAGATGAGGTTGATAAATTCTATGCAGAACTTCAGGAAGTATGTTCTTGCTCTTCTGTTATAACATAAGGCGACGTTAATGCTAAGCTGGGCAAAGAAGAAACTGTCGTAAACATATTTGGGAAACAAATTGTTTGGGTTGGACAATTTGTAACAGCAAATAATTATAAAGTTGTCAGCACTAACTTCCAGTGAAAAGATATCCTTAAAGGAACATGGAAAATACCAACAACCAATGAAGCCAATCAAATTGACCACATCCTCATCTCAAAAAGATGGACAACAAACTTAATGTGAGAACATACCGCGGGCGACTGACTTAGATTACTATATTGTGGGGACAAAATTGCGGCAGAAAATCGCGACAGTGGCCAAAGGGAAAAATAGCCAAATTCAAAAATGGAATGTTGAAGGATTTAAAAGACTAACAAAGACACAAGAACATCAAAATACTCTCAAAATTAAACTCAACGGAATCAGACAGGAAGATACTACAGAGGATGAATGGAGACAATTAAAAACAATAATAGCGGAATCTGTTGAGGAAACTGTAGAAAAGCCAAAACGCAAAGATATTCGGAATGATATGATGATGAATGTAGAACTGCAGTACCTAGAGGAAAAAAATCAAGGTAGGCTTAACCAACTTTAAAGAAACACAAGAAAAGCAGAGAAATTTATAACGCAAAGAGAATGGGGGCAGAAAATTCAATAAAAGGATAAAAGAAAGCACACACTCATTTGGACCAAAATTGACAATATGTAAAGACAAGGACCAAGAACTACTAACAGAGAAACAAAAAATTATAATGAGATGGAAAGAATAATTTGAGGAAAACCTAAATGCAAACAATGGAAATGGTCAAAACGAGACAATATATTTTAAGGCTGAGCAGCACATTGAAAATTCTAGTTATGAAGAAGTAGTTCAAATATTAAAGAAACTAAAAAACAGTAAAGCGCCAGGAATAAAAGGAGTTTTGGCAGAATCGTTAAAATATGAAGCACCCGAATTCTGGGGAAGAATCCATTACCTGATAAAGTTCGTATGGACCAAGGATCAGGTCAGGACAGCTAATATATAAAAAAGGAGATAATAGGGAATGCCAGAATTACATACCAATTACATTGCTAAATGTAATATACAAAATCCTTTCTGGTATTATTTACACTAGATTGTCAGAATATTCCGAAAATATAATTGGTGGTTATCAAAATGGATCCAGACCAAATAAAAAATGAAGCCACTACAAACAACATATTTATACTTAGAACAATGCAAGAGAAAGCTTATGAATACAACATAGAACTACATAATATGTATATATTGACTTTAAATAAGCCTCATAAAAATGACTTTAAAGGGTTCAAAAGGCGCAATTAGAGTAGATGGAAAACTGTCTTCTCTATTTGACATCAACATGGGGGTGAGATAGGGAGACGCACTTTCAACCATGCTGTTCTTGTTCAGTTCTTGAAGCATTCATCAGAAAAACTAATGTAACCGGCCATATAAACTCCAAAACAGTACAGATTACTGCATATCAGACGATGTCGCCATTATTAGAAGAAGCAAAACACGACTAATGGAAACGTTAAAGGAAATTCATCCTGAAGCACAAAAAGGGGGCTTAAAATAAAAGAAACAAAACCTAAGTACATGGCGATCAAAAGAACACCTGGTAATGAAAATAATATAGCAATAGACATATATACTATTGAAAGTGTGGATGCCTTCACATATCTGGGCACAGAAATCAATCAGAAGAATTCCGTAAGTAGCGAAATGAATGCACGTATTTCCAGTGGTAATTGTACATACTATGCCAATAAAAGATTGATGACATTGAAATTATTAGACAAAAGAACCAAAATGACTATCTAGAGAACTTTGATTAGATCCGTGGTAACCTATGAACCAGAACATTCGACAGAAAGGCGGAAAAGGAAGGCTTAGGACGAGATGGTTGGATGACGTGGAAGACTACCTGAAAACCATGAATATAAGACGATGAAGAAGAAGGGTCCAAGAGAGATCTGAATGGAAGGATATAGCCAGACAGGCAAAGACCCATCCGGAGTTATAATGCCAAAAGAAGAAGAAGAACACCTGAAGCATTAAACTGGATACATAGTCTCTATGTCAATATTTAATAAATACATTTTAGAGTTATTTCCATATTTTTATGTTTATATAAAGTTTGACGTTTGTAGCATTTATCTTTATTTGTCATTTGTGCCAATAATAATATAATTATCTTCGGTGTGGAGTTTTAAAAATTTCAGCACTATTACAATAAATATCCTTATTGCATCTTTTTTGTTTCAGGATTATTAAAAGACATTTGGAGTTACGCTATTTGTATTCACACTCTAAATGTTATATCACTTATCGTCATCGTATCGTGGTCCATAGAAATATTCATCAGGAGGATGCGATCGAAGAAGCCGGAACAAACAGAAACCAAACCAGCGGAAGTCAACAGCTAATGTGACCAATAGACTTCTTAAATATTATTAGTGACTTCTGTGATTATATATACAGGGAGGGTGAAGAGACACTCTACTATAAGAAGAAAAACTTATATTTTTTACCTCTATGTTTGGAAGTAGTTTTTTGGTGGACAAACTAATTCGACAATATTTAGTCAGTTCTTGTTAATTGTAAAATGTTTGTTAGTAGAGCTCCAACTGAACTGTATAAGAATGATATTAAACGTATTTTTCTTTTTATTCTTCTTTTGATCACTTATTCAGTTAATATATTTGGAGAAATTAATGTAACTGTTAACGTAAATGCATTTTTTCTCAAGTATTACATAGATACTTAGCAGGCACAATTGATAATTTAAATCCAAAAATAATGAGGTTAGATATAATGAGCATTAGTGATAAGTACCTGCTTAGGGTCCCTTGTCCAGGGTCACGGATGAAGACCACAACGGTATCCACGGCGGAGAAGAACATCTTCGGTACGGTGTGTATGGCGGAAGTGGCACCCCATTTTTAGGGTTAGTATAAAATTAAATGTAGCGTCTGATCCAGAATGGACGGCTACAAACAGGGTCTGACCCAGAATGGGCGGCTGATAACTCACTCACCAACCCGCCTGGCAAGCGTGGTGTTTTAACTGCCATTACCCTCCCCCACTTTTATCATGGCGAATAATAAAACAAAAGGAAATGGTCCCCAGGTGGGTAAGAAAATTTCTGAATCCCACACCTCAAAGGTCTGCCTCACGGTATCTGGGGAGGCAATAATTCGCTTTTGATTGATAAAAACAAAAACCCACTAAGACGAGCACAACATAAATAAAAAAAACCGTCAACCTGTCAATAGGGACATACAACATTAGATCAATGTCCACAGATGAAAAAGTACATGAACTGGAAGAAGAATTAACAAACATAAAATGGGATATCATAGGCCTATCAGAAACTCGACGAAAAGAAGAAAACCGAATACAGCTAAAATCTGGTAATCTACTATATTATAAAGGAAATGAAATGAATAGTAAATTTGGAGTAGGATTTATAATAAATAAAGCTATAAGTAAGCACGTCCAAATTATCAAAGGTATATCAGATCGTGTCGCCTATGTCATACTTAAAATAAGAAGAACATCAATTAAAATTATCCAGGTATATGCCCCCACGACAGCTTATGATGAAGAAAATATCGAACTATTTTATGAAGATATATCAAAGGCTATGGAAGAACATAAAAATCATCTTACACTAGTAATTGGAGATTTCAATGCCAAACTGGGTAAAAAACTAAACAAAGAAGAAACTAAAATAGGAGATTTCGGGTATGGTCAGAGAAATGATAGAGGTGATACTTTGATGAACTACCTAGAAGAAAAGCATCTATACGCAATGAACTCCTTTTACAAAAAGAAGCCCCAACGAAAGTGGACATGGATCAGCCCTAATGGATCCACAAAAAATGAGATCGACTTCATACTGTCCACGGAACGATATATCATTAAAGATGTAACAGTTCTTAACAGATTCACAACAGGTAGCGATCACAGGATGGTCAGAGCAAAAATTAGTATTGACGGTAACTATGAGATGAAAAGAAAAATAAGTAGAAACTGGAATCTAGTAGATAGAAACAAACTAGGGCAATATAAAGAGATATACAAAGACCTATTAAAAGAACAACTTACCCAAAGATTAGACAGTGACGATAAAGATATAGACGAAATAGACAACATACTTACAGCAACAATGATTACATCAGGAAAAGAAATAGCAAAGAAGGATCTAAAAAAGAACAACTATATATCAACAGAAACAAAGAAGCTTATGGATAAAAGAAGGAAGCTGAACGAAGAAGGACAAAAGGAAATCTATAGAATATGTAGAAATTAATAAAACAATAAGCAGAATGATAAAAGAAAATAAGAGAAAAGAACAAGAAATAAAAATAGAAGAAGTAATACAAAACAACAAAAATATGAAATGCTTAAGGCCGAAATTAGGTAAGTTTGAAATAAACAAAATAAAAGATGTAAATGGAATAGAAACAAACGTTAAAGATGACATCATAAATATAATCCACCAAAATTATATAAAACAAAAAAGGAACCACCAGAAGAAATTAAAAACCAACTTAAGGTCAAAATAAAAAATGTCAACTCAGAGCTGCAGCCCGAAATAAGCAAATTAGAAATAACGAAGGCATTGAATAAAATGAAAAATCGCCTGGAACAACAAATCGCCTGGAAAAGATGGAATAACTGCAGAGATGCTGAAATATGGTGGAAAAGTGGTAATTAATACTCTACATTCCCTTTTTAACAAGATATTAAAAGAAAAAAGAATCCCAAACAACTGGAAGGGATCAGTAACCATTATCCTACACAAGAAAGGGGATAAAGCAGATAAAAAACTACTGTCCTATAACACTCCTCAATGTAATGTATAAACTCCTAACAAAAATTTTAACCAATAGATTGACGACAAAATTCGATGGATACCAGTCGAAAGAACAAGCTGGTTTTAGAAAGGGATTCAGCACAAGTGACCATTTACTAAGTATGAAAATACTTATAGAACGAGCAAATGAATACCACATTCCTCTATATATGGCGTTCATAGATTTCGAAAAGGCTTTCGACAGTGTCGAACATTGGGCAGTGAAAAGTTCTTTGATTAACAGCCGAATTGACCACAGATATACGGAACTAATAACCAATATATATAAGGAAGCCAAAACAACAATTAAAGTATATGAAGGAACAAAATCATTACAAATAAGTAGAGGCGTGAGACAGGGTGATACAATATCACCGAAACTTTTCAAACAGGCTCTTGAAGATACTTTTAAAAGATTAGAATGGGAAAAAAAAGTATAAAAATTTGTGGACAACGCTTGAACCATCTAAGGTACGCTGATGACATCGTATTGATAACCGATAAAAAAGAAGAATTATTTGAAATGATGAAAGAACTGGACGTAGAAGCTGGAAAGATAGGCCTTAATATGAATTACAGCAAGACCAAAACTATAACAAATACAGATGAAGACATCACAATGAGAATCGGACAAGATGAAATAGAACAAGTTAAGGATTATATATATCTTGGTCAAACTATAAAACTTAACAAAGAGAACCAAACAGCAGAGATCAAGAGACGAGTTAGACTGGCATGGGCGGCATTTGGCAAACTAAGCTACATTCTTAAAAACAAAAGATATCCACAGCATCTTAAGACCAAAGTATATAATCAATGCGTACTCCCTGTTCTTACTTATGGTTCCCAAACGTGGACATCTACAAAAGCAAACATGGACAAAATCATAAAAACCCAAAGAGCAATGGAAAGACAAATGTTGCACATAAGACTAATGGATAAGAAGAGAAACGAGTGGATAAGAGAGAAAACAAAAGTGAGGGATGTTAGACAAGAAGTTGCAAAATTGAAATGGAGATTTGCCGGACACAATATAAGACAAAAAGAAGACCGATGGAACAAAATTCTTATAAGTTGGAGACCGTGGGAATATAAACGAAGCAGAGGAAGGCCCCAAATGAGATGGCAGATGATATCAAGAAGCACGTGGGCTCTAGATGGATGACTGTAGCGACAGACAGAGAAGAATGGAAAAGGATTGGGGAGGCCTATATCCAAAGATGGACCGAAGAAGGCTAATTAGATAGACAGATAGTGATAATGAGCATGTGACCGTCTATGATGTACGAAACTGAATGTTGGGCAGTGAAAAATAGAAAAAAAAAACAACAAATGTTGCCAAAATGAGAGAGCTTAGATTATAATGACTAAAACATTTTTAACCCTCCAGTACACGCGCTCTACTTCCTTATGGGACAACACTCGTAGATTACATTATTAATCCATACGTACTGGAGCTCTGAAAAAGCAATATTATTTGGAAATACTGTTATTGTTTTAACGAGCTTTTAATAATACCTCAGCAATCTATAACTGTCTTTATTTTAGAAGTAAAATGTAGGACAGACTCACCCAAGTTGGGACAGTTTTTTTTATATAACAAATACTTGAAACTCTATACATATTAAAAAAAAGTTGAGGTATTAAAATGAAACTACAATTTTAAATAGATATAAACTAAGTAAAAAATAAAAAATATGCTTCGTTTTTTGTTATTAAAAAAAAGTATGAATGTCCCATCATGAGAAACCGGAATCCTAAGATGGTCCGTTGGGTTTCTCAAAAAAGGACATTACTCTATACAACTTCCACAAATAAAATAGAGATTATCCATTACTCCACAAGACTCATGAGCCCAATTTGAACATATTTTGCAGTTGTACCAGTCTTCACTACTCTCTGCGTACTTCTTTCCACATACAATGCAGTTTGAATCATCTTTAGTTGAAGTGACGACTGTGATACTGCTAATATTTGCATTTCGAGCGCTGTGGTCCATAACTACAGTTCGTTTCACAGATTTAACCTTGTTAGTAGGGATTGTGGATTGCAACGTCTCTAATTCATTTTTATACGGCGCGGCGATTCTGTGAGTATCGTGGATTTCAGAGAATGTCTAGAAGAAGTCTTACCTTTCTTTTTCTGTGCCTTTGGTAGCGGACTAATATCAGTCACTTTTACCTTGGATGTCGGAAATTGGATAGGAATGATTTGGCTTCTCTGTATCGGTCTGTTATCTTCGGAATCGCCATCTTTAGGTGACCTTAAAACAGACTGTTTTGAGGTTGAAGGAATCGGATTATCATACATTTCAACTTGATTTACGCCTTCGGTATGAGCCATCATTACGGGTAATTTATTGACCTGTGATGTAGTTTCATTGTCCACTGATTGTTCCGTCGTTTTAGAGGGAGCGAATTTGCAGTCTTGTAATAAGTCTTCGTTAAAAGGCCAAATTCCGGTTACTCGGAATCCATTTGTCGCTATCTGTACAGAAGATGCCTTTGAGAATGCTTCTTCAACAGCCCCTGAGATTTGATATTTTCCAAATGTACGACCACAATGATTTTTTTGCCATCTATTAAGGTACAAATCATAATAACTCATAAATGATTTAAAAAACGAAACATCTAGGGGTCGCATTTTATGCGTACAGTGTGGTGGCAGGCATAATAAAATAATACCATTCACGCGACAGAAGTTTATAACGTCTAAACTTTTTGTATGTGAACAATGGCCGTCCAAACTAATAAGAATTTTGCACTCCTTCGAAGGTCTGGTTTGTTGTGCAAAATATTTTATGAAT